GGGGCAGCAGTCTAAGCAAAGATGCCCAGACTTCCCTCTCTCCAGACACTTTCTCCAGCTCCTCCGGGGGGATGCCGAGGCGTTCCCAGGCCAGCCGAGAGACATAGTCCCTCCAGCGTGTCCTGGGTCTTCCCCGGGGCCTCCTCCCGGTGGGACATGCCCGGAACACCTCCCTAGGAAGGCGCCCAGGAGGCATCCGAAACAGATGCCCAAGCCACCTCAGCTGGCTCCTCTCGATGTGGAGGAGCAGCGGTTCTACTCTGAGCTCCTCCCGGGTAACTGAGCTCCTCACCCTATCTCTAAGGGAAGGAAGCTCATTTCGGCTGCCTGTATCCGGGATCTTGCCCTTTCGGTCATGACCCAAAGTTCATGACCATAGGTGAGAGTCGGAACGTAGATTGACCAGTAAATCGAGAGCTTCACCTTACAGCTCAGCTCCTTCTTCACCACGACGGGCCGGTACATCGACTGCATTACTGCAGAAGCACTTTTATTCCTGTACAAAATTCTTTATGGAATACTAAACTATTGTCGCTGAGAACATTACTGAGCTGTCTCCAGTCCTTCATTTTTAAAGAACAGTAAAGTGGAGGGTTTCTGCATGTTTCTGCTGTTGCTGTACATTTTCAGGTTCACTGCAGTCAAAGGGAGATGCTCTCACTACTCTTTACTGATGCAGCCAAAATCTATGCAGACAGCTTGTGCACTGGTTTCTGTACATGTGCCCAGGCTTGCTGTATATTACACAGCATTGTGTGCACATAGACTGCCTGACATTTCCATCTGCACTTCCACTGTACATGTGTAAATCTACTGTATGTTTTAGTGCATGTGATTTAATTTGTGTGTGTGTGTGCCTGGTATTCACAATGTGAGGACAGAAACCTGTTTACACACTCACATTATGGTGGGGACCAGATGGTTCTCACCAGGTACATCACCGAATTTTAGGATGAACACTTAACTGGAGGTTAGGCCAGTCCTGGTTATGGTTAAGGTTAGGGTAAGTCTCCAGGAAATTAATGTAAGTCAATGTAATGTCCCCATGAGGAATGACAACAAATGTGTGTGTGTGTGTTTGTATTTTGGGCTCTGTGCTATTTGGGTATTGAATTCCATCTCCCTTGCATCTCTAATTACTATGGTTTAAAAAGAGACAGATGTAGCTAATCCAATTGTGTGGTTTCTTAACAGCGAAAACAGATGGAAAGATTCATGCAGGATTGTTGAAGAAAGGGGCTGAATGATAGAATAGGAATGAAAGAAAAAGGAAAAGCTGAGCTCTGCCAGAGCACAGGGGAGGGCAGTGAGAGCGAAAGAAAGGAAAAAAATAGTCATAATGAAGACAAGTGCATGAGGAAATGATATTTATAGAAGATTGAAAGTGAGAAAGATGTGGAGAAAGAGAGAGTGAAACTGTGGATGAGGAGGAGACTGTTAGAGCCTGACATTTATGTTGACACCTGATGGATCTTGACAGGATCAGGAAGGTTGGGGTAGAATTGAGTTCCTGACTTAATTGCTCAGGTATGGATTGGAGACAGGTTTCCAAAACACTGTTAACTTCACTGCTGTTATCTTATAAGCTGCACCGCTTGTGTATTCAAGTGCTGAGTCAGGCTAAAAACTTCCAAATCAGTTGAGATTTAAGTAAGAAAATGAATGAGGATCAACGAAGGACCAAAGGAATAGAAAAGTAGAAAGCAGGTAGTTTCTACTGGGAAATAAGATGTTACTCTGTGAAGCAGAGAGGTGGGTATGGAGGGTAGATCAGGTAAGGAGAGGAGTGAATAATGTGCCAGTGTTTCAGAGGCAGGCAGAAGAGACATTGAGCTCCTTGTTGAGCATATAGGCCTTGGATATGGACTGAGTGAACACTTTCACCCTGCAACAGTACACTACAATCACTTCTCTGCTCTGGTTCCATCTTTTCTGAATAGTTTCTTTTCTTTCTTTTTTTTGTACTTCGTAACAGTGTTCAGTTTGGTATTATCACCAAAGGGTACCTAGCAGTACACATGCCTATATTCTCACTAAAATACCTATAGTATCATGCATGTGTCCTTTTTTTGGATAATATAAAGGAGACAAATGTTCTCTTAAAGCTCTCCTGATGAAAGTTTAAAGCCCTCAAAAATGTTGTTAAAATAAAGTGCATACAAGTAATGAGATAGTGTGGAAGCTTTCTTCCTTTATGCCACTTGGAACATTTCCCTATCCCTACCTTTCATTAAATCATTGTAGGTATGCATGAGCTTTTTATCTTTTATTCCAAAATGAATGGATTTTATTTCCATTACTTTTTTTTCTTTTTGGCTTAGTCCTAGCCTTGATTAGGTTTAGCAAATATTTCAGCTTTAGCTTTTTTTTCCATTTTGGTCTGTGGTTTTGAATTAAGAAAAACGTTTTACTGTCTTTTATTCAAAGTATGACTATAAAAAAAAACTAAAGTGGAAAAAAAAGTCATTTCAGTTTGTTTTGGAGAAAAGATATCAGATTTTAATTTCACTAAATAAAAAACAAAAAACAAACTGGGCCTTTAAAATGGCATCTCTAAGACATTATTGTTCTTATTGTTAAATTATGACTTAGTGTTGCTGTGAGAGCAGGCTGACGACAGCCTGCTGATGTCACTCCTCTTACTGTCCTGGTAGTGCCAGTATAATTGAACTTGTTTACATATCCCCTGGGAAATCAGCCGAGGTTCAGAGTACACCAGAGAAGAGAAGAAAAAGAGCAGCGTGTCAGAGCATATGACTGAAAATTTGTATTTTTAGCCTGTCTGCTTATGTCATAGGTGTGATGCCTAAAAGATACTTGCATGTGTGAAGCCATATGTGCCTTTTTTCTGTGTTCACTTGTGTGTGTGTGTGTGTGTGCACAAATGTGAGTGACACACCCAAGTGCATGTGTAACCTGAGATTCAGGTGGTGATGCAGGCGGGTGTGCAAATACGTGAGTAGAATTTGTTACCACGGCAACAGGCATTCAGTGAGTCGGTGCAATGGAATGGCTGGTGCAATTCTATTAGCGAGAAGCAGTTACCATAGTGACTCAACATCGCAGCTGCCTATGCAAGAGTTTGTGTGTGCGTGTGTCTGTATGAATTAATTGCGAATCTTGTGTGAATGTGAGTGTTCATTAGTGCACCTCCCTATGTAAGGCTTTCTTTTTTATTAATTTTTTTTTTTGCTCCTGTGTTTTTTTGGTATAAAGCTTCCATCTTTATCTCAACCCCCATCAGTTATCTCACACTGTCCTATTTTCAGCTCCTTCCCCTCTCAGTTTTACCCCCCTTTTTCACTCTTTCTCTCCTCCTATCTCTCTGTCTCCCCCATCTCTGAGTGCTGAAGCTCATCAGGGTAAACAGATGCTATGGCTGTTATTTATGTTTCCACTTGGTCTGGTTTTCACACAAGCCCTGCACAGTGCAGACGCTCTGCCTAACTAGGCAGCCTTATCCACCGACACTCAGATTATACCACAGACGACGTAAGAGGTGGGGGGTGGGGGCAGCACAGGCGCTGACAGAATGAACCATGGCAACACACTGATGGGTATAAAGACACCAATAACAGACAGGGCATCAGAACCGGCTGAACCATTTGCTCCCCACATGGAGGAGAACGACAGTTTGGGAATGTAGTGGACAGGGGAAGCAGACATCACAGAGAAACATATGGAGAATAAGCCCAGTGGGGCAGACATAAAAGGCAGTTTGCTGAACATGTTTCATACTTACTGTCGTCATCTCATTTTTTCCTTGTGAATCATTGGTCTGTCAGAGGTTAGAAAATGTTTCATTTACTTAGATTGCTGCAGTTATAAAAATCTAGGGCTGTCAGATTAAACGGGGTAGGCTGCCTGTTGCTTGTCAGCACAGCAGGAACTGAAGAATTTTGCCAAACAATAAATAAACATAAGAATATAAGAATAAGAAGAACACCTCTGTTTGTTTGTGTTGTGCAGATGTTCGGGATCGTCGTAAGAAGCCTGTGATGCTGTTCATCCACGGAGGCTCCTACATGGAGGGCTCAGGGAACATGTTTGATGGCAGCGTCCTTGCTGCTTATGGAAATGTCATTGTCGTCACCATGAACTATCGGCTAGGTGTGCTTGGTGAGTTTGCTGTGCCACATACTGTATTTCCTGGTGTTATCAGGCAGTGGATGCAGTGTAATGTAAACTTACAAACTTTGTTTGACATGTGTCACCTCACTCTGACTTAAGTCTCTGTGTATCAGATATCAAAAAGAAAACTTGCATAAATGGTGATACAGTCCACAAATCCCTTGATGTCTTTATTTATGTTTGTTTTAAATGTGAATGACATTTGGGGAAAAAAACTAAACAAATTATATATAAAAATTGACCCCCAAACTGAGAGAGTGGCTCCAACAGATCCCAGGAACAATATCTGAGATCTCTTTCCAGAAGAGCGCAGTCCTAGGAACAGCTAAGATACTGCGCAGGACCCTGAAGCTCCCAAAATGTCAGGGTTCTGGTCAGGTAACAAAAGTTGAAAACACACCTTAAAATAAAGACTGCATTAGACTATAATGTATTGATGTTAAGGGGCTTGAAAATGTGTATGTACAAGCTTTTGTGTGTGCAGAGATGAAGTGTTTTCAGTGTTGAAATCATGCACTGTGAGGTCTGGTTAATCATTTCTGTTACTAAAGTTGCTCTGACCATAGCATTATCTGTTCTGAATGTTATTTTTGCTCAGCAGGGATTTCACAGCAAAGCACAAACAGGTGTATGTACTGTGTTCACCTAGCCTGAAAATTACATTTTTTGATTAATTAATTGTACTGTATTAAGATGAACTCCTGCACCCAAATTAAATTAGTGGCTATTTTTTTCAGTGTATTTTTGGATCAAGGGGTATTCTAGTTGTCCATTCTGTTGGAGCTTTACAGTGCTCTCATGGCCTGTGAGAGTGGGCTGAGCTGTGTATGTGTGTGTGTGTGTGTGTGTGTATACCCAGCCCTTGTACTGCTGGGTATCAGTAGAGTCAAGAATTTACATTCAGCATCATCTTTTGGATGTATTTGCACACAGACTGTCTGTGTCAGTCAGTGCAGTTGCCAGGTTGGGTAATCAGATCTTGTTTATTGCATCATGCCTGTTTCAACATATCAGAATAATGACAAACAGAGAAATGGGAGTAGTTTAGGATGCCATCCAAGAGTTGAGACACGTATTAGCAGAGGGCAATATGATCCAGACCATTATTGACAGTGCCAGTGGAGAGGCATAGGGACAAGGGCATACTGAGAGTTAGGGAAATGAGGACCTGAACCTGCTGCTTTGTCTGCAAGTTCGATTTTGGCTCCTTATGTGGGCTTTTCACATCCGTCAGACAAATCATGACTCTTAACAGGTTGAGTGTGAGATTCAGTTCACGATTTGAAATCTGGTTTGTTAAATGTGGTATTAAATTACACAGTGATGCAAACGCCTTGTCAGTGGTGTCTTTGCTTCCTTCTTTTTACACATTGGATGTACCTGACCTTGTTTTCAAACCTGGCCAATGTTTGGAGATGTGCACTCATGCGCTACAGCATCTTTATTACCCTGCAACTCCAAACACAATCATTAAACCACATTTGAGGTGGAGAGAGATCCTGCTGGCTGATAATGAGGGATGACGCAGTGTCCTCAATTCCTTTAACATTGTTGAAAATTTTGGTAGGTGGGTGAATGCCTGCTCACTGTTACTGTACTAAGATGATTATCCTTGTGTGTGTGTGTGTGTGTGTGTGTGTGTGTGTGTGTGTGTGTGTGTTTGTGTGAGTTTAGCATAAACATACATGTTTCTCTGTGATCCCCCAGTATCTTCTTGTGCACATGAACATGTTTGTGCTATTTAGTTGCGAGCTGTTGCCTAAAACATATATATGAATAATGCAGTCCATCTCAATTTTTAATATCACTCTATTGTGCATATGAGTCAAGAGAGGAACACAAACATACCATATTGTAATATTTGTATGTTCTGCTCTGTAGTATTATCCTGTACTAATACGCAGAAGCCCACATATGCCAACCTCATTTCATATAGTGCCTGCACCTTTAAGAGAGGGATAGTCAGGAATAAGGAAAAAATGGGAGCAGGAAATAGAGACAGATGAGAGAAGGAGAATCACAGAGAGACAATGAGGGAAAAGAAAATTGTAGGAAGGAGTAGGGAATAGTCCAAAAATAAACCATCCTATGCTTTTTTAAATCTGCATTGATGCAAAGTATTCATTCAAATAAATGCTTCTGCATAACCACAGCATTTTGCATACAGTTTAATCCCATTGCAAAACATACACTTCATTTTCCAAATATATAGTTTTTGTAATTTTCTCATAAATTTAGGATATGTCCACTCATAGAATAAAATGGGTGAATGAGGAGAAAATGTCTGCTGCACAGAGTCTAGTTTAGAGGTTTGGTGACAGCTGAGATTTCAGATTGCTGCTCTGCTCCCCTTCTCCTACCTTCCTCCTGCTCCAGGCCCACTTAGCCTTCTTATTTGTGTTGCATAGCCATCTGTTCAGACTAATTAACTAATTAACAAATTAATGAACTCTGGGGAAAGGCCCACCATGGTGGGCTGTGAGAGTGAGAATATTTTTCACCTCAGGAAGAGAGATGAAATGCCTCTTCTGGAAATGTTTCTCGGCACTTTCTACCTAGTCTCAGCCTTTTGATTTCAAGTACAGTAAGAGCAACCTACTTCACAGTATTACCACCACTTTTATTAACCAGTGAATAAACTTGAGTTATTAATTCAAAATTAGTGTGACTCTTAGAACTCAGTTACTCATGAGTTTGTCTCAGAAAAGGTCAAAATAAACTGATTTTACTTGCAATATTATGAAAATGTGCAATGTTTTGCTCAAGCTGCCTCCAAAAATTCTGTATTTGCCATGTATTTATTTGACTTTTTGTCTACTTGGGAGCCAGCACAACAAGGTGTAAAAACAACACTGATATATTATCACCATAAATGTTGATATGGTGAACATGTCAGCAAAACTGTTGCCTTTTACACAATAACATTCACTTTAATCAGCATTCATCTACTCAACCCTGAGGCAGAATTGGCTTTAATAAGTACATATCCAGGAGCTACAAAGGAACACTAGCATTCATTTGAAGTCATGTTAATGGCCACCTGACCAAAATAAGTCCAATATTTAGTCTCTATTTTGGTGTCCATAAAATAACTTTGTGTCTGCCATTTGGGGCAGAGCAGATAACTCCAGCTTTAAGGTTGAAGCCTTGCTTATTGGACTACAAACAAAGTTGCACTTAAGCACTTTTATAGAACTATACATTATACCACTTCACATTTTACACAAAACTAACTCATATTACAAGGGGATGTAGTCAAAAAGACATATATAAAACCACAGAAATTCATGTGGCATTGTTGAAAATGGGTAGTGAATCTTAAAATGTTTTGTATTACATTTGTACCAAACCAAACCAAACGAAAATTTACCATAAATAATCCTCTTCACATTAATTAATACTTTGTTTAAAGGCTTATTACTACCATTTATTATTGGTTGTACACAGTTCAATAGCACTGTATTGTTTGTACCACTGTTTTTACTCATAATTGTAGAATTTTACAAGCCCATACACATGGAAAACTTTTTAGGAAAATCAGGACAAACAATGTCAGCCCACTCATAAATACGACTCAGCTCAGTTAGCCTTGGAAGTCATTTTGAATTGTGTGGCCCATTGTTAACAAAAACACCCCTTTAAATGTGACATAGTGAGCACAGATTTTGCTGTCAATTAATTTCAGCTTTCTGCCTTCTCACAACTCAGCTGTCCCTAAATACAAATGAAGCACACCTCCCACTCCCAGGCCGGCACAGAACTATGATCTTCCTACTCTGTGAGCAAGGAGGAACATGTCTTTCCTAATACTTTGCCAGCCTGTGCATTGATTGTGATGGTGATCATTTTGCCTCACTGACATTCCTGTTGTGACGAGATTCATGCGCAAGCCAAGGTGCTGGGCCCACAAATTATATGGTGTAGAGTTAAATTATATTTAAAATATTAATTATAATGAGTGCATGATTTGTTTCCTTTAATAACAGACAGGCCAGAGTACATTTAATATTTTATCTCTAATGTGGGCTGTGCATTTCAGTAATGAACTTTGAAAACCCCTAATTTAGAGGATTTCTTGGTTGAAAACTGATTTTGAAAGGTTTGTAAACCATGCTCAAGGCATTATTTGGGTTTAAGACAGTGCTTTGATTTTCAAATGTGTAACAAGCCGAACGGACTAAACAATGATAATCTGCTCAAATACGATGAATACAAAAATGCTATCATTCATGCTAACAGTCTAAACCCTACTCTGCAGTTACCATAATATGACTCGCCAATATCCTCTAGTGTAGACAGTGAATAGGAATGGCTGGAATAATATCCACATTGAAATATAAATGTACTACTTTGCTAAGAGTTATGGTACTATCACACAAAGAGGTGAATGGATATGTGTATTGGCGATGATTAACGAGTATATTTCATTAATTAAAACAGCTTATGTCTCTGTCAGTAGTGATTAAAGATTCTATCTGCAAACAAGGCACTGTTTGAAGGGTTTTAATTCATTTAATGTGATCAGTTTTTTAATTGTTACTGCCTGTGATTTTCGTGAATGACGGGTTCTTTCTGAAATGAAACTTTCTTTGCAAAGCTTTGAAACATCTCTTCACCGATGTGAAATTTGAAGCATTGCTTTACATATTTGCACAATAGCCTGGTTTTATTGCACAGCTTGGTGCGATTTGAATGGGCATGGAAATAAAATTTGAGTGAGATAAGTAAGGTAAGAAATACAGTGACACTGA